TGAAGTTGTGGACGTTTAATATGATTTTTTATATAATACGTACAGTATATCTATTCTATCCGTTACCCTAGTATCCCTTAACACAAGCCTTATAGTGCTTACTTTGGGGCTAGGTAAATTGGTGTGGTGTGTATTGGAAATATTTATTAATTATTTATTATGGATATTTTTGTATATGATATTTCACCCCTTTTCTTTCGACATTACCATTATTTTTTTGATTTTGGACAGCATCTTTAGCGTCAAACAGACAGGCACTCTTATTTTTTTTATCAAATCTGGAGGGTATGCAGTCCGGTTTCAATCGAACTCTTTTCACTGAACCGATTACTTTATACTGCTTAAAGTTTTCCATGTCTTGTTCCAACTGAAATGTAAGATAAAAATAATTACCCATCGCTCCTTTTTAACATAACCTACTGTATAATGACCTTTTTCAATATGTTACCGAATATGTGTATCTGGGTCAAATTATTTCTTTTAGTGACCAGTTGACTAAAGAAATCAACAAGAGAATAGCCTATGGTTGGAAGAAATACTGGCCGATGAAGGAAATAATGAAAAGCAAGAGTCTGGGGATCCACATTAAAAGGAAAGCCTTCGATACCTGTATTTTACCGTGTCTGACCTACGGTTGTGAATCTTGGTCTTTAACAACGCAGCTAAGGGATAAGCTGACTCATTGTCAACGGGCTATGGAGAGAAGTATTTCAGGAGTAACTCTAAGGGATAGAATAAGAAGTGAGGATCTAAGATCTAAAACACAAATAACAGACATTCTATCTAGAGTGGACAAACAAAAATGGAGGTGGACGGGCCACTTGCTGAGAGGTACCATAGACAAATGGAGCAAGCGAGTGACAGTCTGGTATCCTAGAGATGGAAAGCGCAGGAGAGGACGCCGGTTTAGAAGATGGGAGGATGAAATCACCTGTACTCTGGGTCCGTATTGGACAAGAGTTGCAGCTGACAGAGGTGAATGGCGTCGGTTAGAGGAGGCCTTTGCCAAAAGGCACACAGAACTGCGTGACTTATTGTAAAATGTAAAATCAATGTTATGATAAGAAAGTTCTGAAATAAAGGCTATTTTATTTTATTTACTGTATAATGATGATTTGTAAATGTTGTTACATTATGCTTTTAATGTTTTGGAGTTTTTTTCGCTCGTTTTTCTCCGCAGCTAAAAAATATGTACAATAACAAGTGGTAGGGAAAAAAATGTTTGGACGAATCAAAAGTGTTGTACTATACATCCAATTTGAATAAAGATATATTGATTTTTGATTGATAAGATATTTTAGGTAGGTAGTGTATATAATCTTGCGATATAAACATTAAACACAACAACAGTTAAATGCTTAAAAATATATATATTTAACTACAATTGCTATTTCTGCTTTCAAATGTTTAATACTTATAAAGGTATCTACAATGCGAAGAGAAGGTGCAGCTCAGAAATAACAGAAAGAATTTGACACGGCCATTAGGGCCGCGGTAGCTTAATGTTCAGTGCATCCGTCTGGATAGCAGAGTGTGCGGGTTTGAGTCCTGTCTGCTGCCTTTTTTTTCTAATAAAAATTTTCTTTAGTGCACATAAATTAGTTCTAAAAACCTTGAGTGTATTTGCCTAAATACACGTCTTGATGGAGCAATACAAATAAAACGAAAAAAAACATCTCATGTTATGCGCAATGTATGTGTGACTATGTCAGATTGTTTGAAAGCTGTTAATGTGTAGCAACGAGTTTATCTACAATATGTACTAGATATTTTTTGCACAGCTTCCAGGGGAGTTATGGCACTCTACAAGGGGCAGCAGAAGGTACGGTATCTAGGGTATATAATCTCCCAGACACATCTATCTATATATATTTTAAGTATTGATTTCACGGGCTCTAGCAAAAATGAAAGTTACATTAAACAAGAAGTTTTTACTTAGAATTGAAGCAGATTTACTAACCATCTATTTCGTGTTTCTTTGAAATATATTATTATTGCTTAACCTATCGTATGAGAAGCTGGTGAACAAACTGGAACTTATGTGGGCCGATAGCTGTCTGGATACAGTCCCAGATACAATCGAAGTTTATTGTATAAGATACACTCCGACCGATATTGCAGATAGTTGGTGCGGATATACTGTACTTCCAGGGCCCAAAAGTAAAAACTTCACAGTTTTGTTGGTTGTAATTTCGCATTTTTGTTGTTAAAAAGGTTTCTGTTAACCACATTATTAAAAAAAATGTCACACTTATGCACTGGTAGTTTTTTAGAAAAAAAATATTGAAAATTTTTACTTTTCTTATCAAGTGGTGATACTTCACACTAGGTTAGGTTAGGTTAGTGTTGTGACATAACGCGCGAGCCGAGCGAGCAAAGCGAGCGTGCCGCGGCAGCGGCCGGCGAAGCGCCAGAAAAAAAAATCTGTTAAAAAGACCTTTTCTACAAAAAAAAAACAAGTATCACCTTTTGGGCCCTGGAAGTACAGTTTTACCGTTGGTGCTTGTAAGTACTCACATTAAAGTGATCTTCGCAAAAATACAATCGAGTTTGTTCTTCGGGATCCCTGCCTGCGAGAGATAACCAGGCTTTTCTCATATTTAGATTATCATTTGGCACTTGCATCCACAATTTGTCCGGTGTTCTTTTACTAGTGTTTTTGCATTCAGGAACAGCACACCAACGATATGGAGCATAATCACTCATTTTGTTATTTTACAAATTGTAAAATACAAAATAATAACAGCGCATTTGTTTATATTGATGTGACAGTACAGACTGACTGACACTGACACGAAGACATTTTTTTTTTATTTTTACAGCCTTGGATAAAATTCATACAGCCAATTCTTCATTATTTATTTTCATATTTATCACGACTTCATTATATATTTATCTTTGTTATTCAAGGGTATCTTTTTTCTTTTACAAGTGCACAAGAATTTTGAAACATGTAAAATTTTATATTATATATAAAAATTTTGCAGTTGTATAGGGCACTCGGAGAAACTACAATTCATTACGGCTTGAGTAGCTACGGTCGAACCTTCAAATCACATCTTGATTCTATAAAAGAGCTTCAGTTAAGAATTCTTAAAACTATAGTTCCAGAAAAGATAAAAACTCAGTACCAACACAACTACAATGAGCTATTCTATCATTGTGGAGTCCTACCTGTACATGATCAAGTGTGTTGTGCATTACTAATTGAAAACTATCACAATAAAGACTTTCTGAATGCCATCCAACGAAAGAAACTAACACGTAGTGCCTCAAAAATTATATTTGAAGTACCAAGGTATAGCAATCTGTATGGTAAACAGTTGCTTCAACACCAGATTCCTAAATTAATAAATAATCTGCCAGAAACAATTAAAAATAAAATTAATCAAAGTAACATTAATTCCATTTTAAAAACATATTTTCTATCCCTTTTAATAACAAAAACCAATATCGACATGATATAAAACTAAAACAAAATAATATGAAACACGAAATCAGCCCGTGTGTTTCCACTCTTTTGGTGTATTGCTCTGCGCGGTGTTTGGCCAACAGCTACCTGGCTTTTCACTAAAGGCGGTGCGGTATATATATATAAAAAAAAATATCATTACCTTACCGATTAATGTCTGATGAATGAATGGTTTAATTTAAATTTGATTTTTGAGAAGACGTACCTCCGGGTCTTGATGGCGAACGGCAGTGTCCGGGAAAACCAATACTGGTTTATGAGACACTGGTATCGATTCTGGCGTGATTCTCTAAACTTAAAACTAAATTTAACATCAGTCTCTCCTTGTCAATCTGCATAGAGAATGACAAGGATGCACTGTTGTCAAATTTAAGTTTAGCTTTAGAGAATCATGCCAGAATCGACATCAATGTTATACACTTAAGATTATAATGTATTTCTTATAATATAATAAATAAATAAAAATAATATGACTTCATCTCCGCGACACGAAGACTCTCTAAACTTTTTTTTTCTAAATGGTTTCGCAAGGCTTGTGCATTTAGCCAATGTCAAGTGTTAAAATGTTTACAAATACTATAGCACTTGTGGTCAAAGTAAGTGGCAGTCAAGTTAATCCCCCTTTCCCTATATTTCAGTAAAAGTGTGAGGTTTTATTGGAACCTCCCCGTAGACTTCTTGATCCCTCAAGTCACGTCGAAAGACACTTTCCGCTATTTTGTTTCACTTGCCAACACTTGTGCATGTTCCCGAACACTTAGTGGTTAATAATCCACCATTATTAGACACTAACATCCACCACAACACAATTTTCAACAAGAAAAACAAAACTGCTAAAGTAACGCTTCCCGATCCCGCCAAAAAGTCCTTCTCTAAACTTAAAACTAAATTTAACATCAGTCTCTCCTTTTTATTCTGTATAGAGAATGACAAGGATGCACTGTTGTCAAATTTAAGTTTAGCTTTAGAGAATCATGCCAGAATCGACATCAAATATAGCTATTATCGGGATTGTTACCATGTACCTTGTTTTTATGAGTTTCCGATATTTCAGCACTGTTGAAAGCGCCATGATCACGGAGTAACTGATGTAATTGAGGGTAGATGTTATTGGCAGACATATTGGTCTACCCTCTGACGTCTTCTTTTACTGCGCTCGATACCCCTACTATTGGTCACATTCTCACTATTCACTCGCACCTGTTCCCGACACACAATGCTCACAGTATCAGATCGTGGAACGACACATACGAACCACTGGATTCCAGACACTTGACAATTTAAACCCATCCTCAAGATTGAAATTTTTGTGTTTGGTTGTTTCAATTACTTACCTGACCAATCTTGGTATGTAGTGGCGTTCTGTCGAGATAATTTGTGGATTATGGAGCTCAATCCAGTGATTAGGACCCGAATCGATTTAATATTCCGCGATAGCTGATTTTTTCGTATCATTGTTATGTTTCCAAATTAATACAAAACGTTGATAGGAATAAAGGATTTTACTATAAATAAAAAGGCATTCGAAAATAATATAATATCTTTTATCTATTTACAAAAAAATTTTCTTAATTTTTATTTTGATCACATGGCACTGGGAGTACGTAGATTGGCAGGGAGGGTAACAGAATCACGGAGCCCTCTGTGGAAAAGAAAAATAAATGTACACGGACCACACATCAGAAGTGACACTCCTTTTCTTTATTAACATAACAATAGGCGGTGCGGTAAGGCATAGGGGAATGGAGCAGCGCACGCATTACTCATATATATATTACTAGCTGACCCAGCGAACTTCGTACCGCCATAATAATAGGGCCAGGTGGAAAAAGATTCCTCCGAACCCATATGAGAACACTACGTTACAATACCCAATAGCTTGAATTTTGGCGCGAAGGCGCATTGTAGGTTTCAGAACACTACGTTACAGGTGGACAACCATTAACACTTAAGGATATGAAAAATAGATAGTAGCCGATTCTCAGACCCACGGAATATGCATATAAAATTGTATAAAAATCGGTCAGGCCGTTTCGGAGGAGTATGGTCACTAACATTGTGACACGAGAATTTTATATATAAGATTGTCGCGTGTGACGCTCGTGGCGTTTCAACCTACGCCGAGTTAACCTCCAACTTTCATGTTTGTCTGGAAGAGCTGGGCACGCATCCCACACACACACACACGCATACAAAGACACACACACATACATATATATATATATATATATATATATATATATATATATATAGTGTCGTAGTGTCGTGTGACGCTCGTGATGCATAATAGGTATAAGAAAGAGGCCGCAACAAAAGTCCAGCGCCTTAAAGGCACGTTAAGCCGTTGGTCCCGGCTGCATCTGCAGTCGTTAGCACCCGCCAATCCGCACTGGGCCCGCGTGATGGGTCATGGCCCAATCTCCCTATTCCATTCATGGGAAGGCCTGCGCCCCAGCAATGGGGACATTAATAGGCTGATGATGATGATGAAATACCTACCAGTGTTCTTCAAATTCTCCAACGATGCAGTGTGTTGGACATTGCTGTAACAAAAAATATAATAATATTTAGTAATGATAGCAATGATATTAAAATATCGTTGAATGTTACAAGCAGGGGGCCAATCGCCTAACGGAAATGCTTTGGAAAACGCTAACGCTTACGATTTTATTTTGTTATTTCTAGCCGCCTGAGGTATTCAAATGCCCCGCGCTCTTTCTTTTTCTTTTGCATTGGTAATAACAATATTAAAAAAAATGAGCGTGAGGTATTCGAAAACCTCAGGCGGCTAGAAATAACAATATAAAATCGTAAGCGTTAGAGTTTCCCAAAGCATTTCCGTTAGGCGATTGGCCCCCTGGTCTCCTTGTCTTCGTTCTTCAATCTGTCTTTGAAATAATGATATCAGCAATCGGTGAATCAGACAGGCAGACTTTGTCTGCGTAGAAAAAATAGTTTCTCATAATCCCTTAAATAGTGAATTCTAGGACAAAAGCTATCCCATTTCCTTTTTCCAGGACTCGAAATATCTATAAACCAATTTTAATCTTAATCGGTTCAGCTGTTTTAGCGTGAAGAGGTAACAGACGGACACACTTTCGCGTTTATAATATTAGTATGGATATAAATTTACTCACCAATCGCCCAAGCTGTTTAATGACCTAGTTATTTGACACGATTGAAGGGCGATGTTTTGCAAGTCAGCCAAAGAGCAAGCTGGGCGCAACCTCGAAACCAGTTTGTGTTGAATGGACGAACATATACTACTATTGCTCTCACACACATCTGTGTCTTCTATTCTAATGTGTGGCACTTGAGTATTCACTTGACATTTACATTCGGTGTTGCCAGCCGTCAAAACATGCGGATTATTAGTAGTTTTCGGCGTTTGTCTGGTGAGCTCGTGATTCAATGATCTGTGAATGTTTGGGTCAGAGCTGAAATTCTGTCCTCTCTCTGTGAATTGTACAGCTTTCTTTTTGTGCATCATGGAGTGTTGGTATTGCCCTCTTCGGCTCACAGCCGGCGACAGGTTCGGTGTTCGGTTGGGAGTGTTCTGAGCTGACACAGTCTCGCGTTGTTTTTTTAATGTGTTTTTTATTTCGTATTCTGTTGCTATGGCTTCGAATACCTGTAAATAAAAAAACGGAGTATTATCAACCATCTTATATGTTTATTAATGGTGTCGATTCTGGCATGATTCTCTAAACTTGAAACTAAATTTTACATTAGTTTCTCCTTGTCATTCTGTATAGATAGCGAAGGGTGCGGGTTCGAGTCCCGTCTGCTGTCTGGTCCGCGTGGAATTTTTTCTGGTTATATTTTCTTTATAATAAAGTTACCTGTTCTGCAACTAAGTTTCTGGCGTAGGGGGAGTCTTGCGCCGGTAGCGGTTCCCTGCATAATGCACAACGTTCCAGTCTGGACCAGCAAGCTGTCGATAAAACAAAATAACATTCATCAACAGCCTATTAATGTCCCCACTGCTGGGGCACAGGCCTTCCCTAAGAATGGAATAAGGAGATTGAGCCATTATCCACCACGCGGGCACAGTGCGGATTGGCGGGTGCTAACGATTGCTCTGCGGGACCAACGGCTTAACGTGCCTTCCGATGCAGGGAGGAGCTCGAGATACAAGAGTTTTGGTCACCCATCCAATGACCGACCACTGCGAAAGTTGCTTAACTTCTAACGATTGCAGCCGAATGCGCTAACCGCCTGCGCCGTCGAGCTCCACCGTCCTTTTTTGATATTGTTATTCAACTATTAAATTTTAACTATTTTTTTTTTCAACTTTTAAAGCCACCACGCATGGAGAGCCACGCACCTGTACCTGGTATAGCGTGTCGTGTGTAGACCGGGTCTTCGCACTCTTATCCTATGGGTGCGGTGTCTGCCTAGTGCTAAACTAGTGTGCAAGTATGCTAGCTGTGTAGTGACAGCATAGAGGTATAAGAATAGGGTAGGCTAAGAAGACTCTACTATAAGTGGAAGTGTCCCTCTAATAGAAAGAGAAAGAAGATGAGAGACCGCTAGCTTTCTCTCTCGCGCATTGGCAACCGTAAGCATCTTACTATTTCGATGTGATGCCATTGGATGCCATGCGTCATAATAGAGAGAGATAGCTAGCGGTCTCTCGTCTTCTTTCTCTTTCTACTAGACGGACACTTTTAGAGCCGCCTTCCCCACTCTATTCTCATACCTCTGTGAGTGTCAGCTAGTAATGGCAATTAATAATTTTCATTGATTTCATTAGCATGCTTTTTTCATGTCTTAGCATGCTATGTGCTATTGCTATACTATTTGCTAAAAACAGCTGTGATTTGTGAAATGCAAATTTTTCTTCATTACGACAACTTAACATATAATAATATTTTTTTATAATTTAGCATTTTCCGGTCTACACCAAAATATCAATCACACGATCGATGTCAACGTAACTAAATTATCAACCTGGCTGAACTTATAACCTAATGGTATGGCTGGCGAATGCACTGACCATTATGCTACCACGGCCCTATTGGCCGCGTCGAAATTTTCCTAGCCTTAAGCTGCAAGGCAGCGCCATCTCTTCGCATTGTAGGTAACCCACAATGTCAAATGAATACTTTTTCAAGTATTAAACATTTGAAAGAAGAAATAGCAACTACAGTTATGTTTTTCTTTTTTCTTTTTCGCCCGGATTGCGAAGGGTGCGGGTTCGGGTCCCGTCCGCTGCCTGGTCCGCGTGGATTTTTTTCTAGTAAACTTTTCTTTAAATAAGTTTTATTTAATAAAAACTTTTTTTTTGCTCACTTTACCTATTTGGTTTGAATTGACAGTTATGGCGTCACAAAATGGCGCCTAGTCGGTCCTATTCTTAGTTGAATCGGGAGTGTTTGGCGGGATTTCATCGAGTGCGGTTAGCATCTTATTTTAATTATTCTTAAATTTGTTCATAGTGGATATTGTGAAATTGGTGTGATTTTGTATTAAAACTGTCTGCGCAACTGAAGAATTAGTGGAATCCTTAAAATATACGCCATTCCGGTCAAGTGGACGTGAGAATTTTATTGTAGTATTGAATACCTCACAGAAGCTTATCGAAAAAGCTAACTCGATATATTTCGCACTAAACACTCCAAGAAGCATTAGAATGCGTCACACCCACATTTTAATGTAAAAAAAGGAAGATTAATACAAAAATAAGACGATGGCTGCATGGCTATGCCTTTGTCTTTCTCAATAGAGAAGAATAGAACTAAAAAAAAAAGTTGAATCGCATTATATGCTCACCGGTGCAGTAGAGATGTGAGCGCGCGCAGGTGAGCGGTCGCGCGGCGGTGGCGGCGCACACGCTGCAGGTGAGCGCGCGCAGCACGCCCGACAACGCGCGCCGCGCGCTCTCCCCGCGACCGCCGCCGCCGCAACTCCACAGTAACTGCGAGACGGGACAACCCTCAGTTCACGGTTCCCAACTTAGGGGTTTTGCCCCCAGATTTAGGGGCTATGTGTTAAAACGGACTTTTTAGGGGCTGGAATTTTTTGGGGGTTCTTTTAGAGGCTTTTAACAAAACTTGCAATTAAATCGAAAAACAAAGTGTATGTTTTCTTTCAGTTTTGTGCGTAGAATGGAACGCACCACGATATGAAACGACTGAACTGACTGTGTGGCGGTCTGTTACCTAATGCTGTACGGATTAAAGTTCTTTGCCTATCACCAATGGTTAAACAATAAAACAACAACATAGCAATCATGTTCGTTCTTTCATTCGTTCACGTCATACTCACGGCTCACCATTCATTTTTGTCATTCATTCAATAAAATAATTTACTGTAACTAAATAAGAAACTTTAATTTATGAGCAGCGAAAGAATTTAGGTAATAAGTAGGTACATATAAAATTCTATATTTAGGGGATTTTAGGGGAATTTGAAAAATACTTAGGGGAAATTTTTGGTAAGGGTTTGGTAACACTGCCTCAGTTGTCAGTACCTTACCCTTAGTACGAGTTTTACAATTACGAAAACTATCATATTTTTCGTGAACAGTGGCGGCGCTAGACCACATGTGGACGTCGGCGACATCAAGTTCGCGATGCCTATTTTATTTCGCAGACAAAAACCGTTAAATTAAGTGAGCCAAATTATAAAATAACGTATGAGTAAACGAGTTTTATTGTTGATAATCAAATGATGACAAAAAATAATTACAAACATAGAAATTTAATTACAAAAATAGTGTTGCCAGACAGACGATTCTGAATACCCGTAAAGTACTACTCGCTTCCATCACGCACGTGTTCGAAAATAATAGAAGTCATTATCATCTGCTTAGCTTTTTCCCCGAATTGTTCGGAGTCGGCTATCTAAGCCAGGCCAGGAGAAACGAAAATAAATAGGTAACTTGTAAAAATTTTTTGCGAGGCCCCCTCAGGCGCGAGGCCGTCGGCGGTGGCCGACGTCGCCGACGCCTAGCGCCGCCACCGTTCGTGAACTCGCAGCTTCTGTACCCTTAGTACGAGTTTGAGCTCACGAAAACTATGATAGTTTTCGTAATTGTAAATTATGTTTCTATGTCCATTTCGGTGAAAAGTAACCAATATACTTAAAATTTGAGAAGACGCAAATTATTTCAAATCAGTTTTCACTTTAAAAAGCCGCTGGTAAAAATGTTTCATTATCAGTCCAGTAGTTTCGGTGTTTATTCGTTACAAAAATACAATAATAATAATAATAATTTATTTTCCTTTACAATAGCCTTCTAAACAAAATGATCGATTGGAGTCTCCATTTAAGCAAATATTGGTGTCGATTCTGGCAGGATTCTCTAAACTTAAAACTAAATTTAACATCAGTCTGTCCTTTTCATTCTGTATAGAGGATGACAAAGATAGACTCTTGTCAAATTTGAGTTTAGCTTTAGAGAATCATGCCAGAATCGACATCATTGCCTGTGTTTGGAGGCTCCAAATAAATCTTTTCTCTTGATTAATATTAGTATAGAATAGCATTTACTTCGGGGTCTTCTTTGGGGTCCACTCCACAGTTCCAGGCCAAAAGAGACACTCCTCTACCAGCGCCGTCGCCCCTTATCAAGCCTGCCACTTGCCCCACCTGACATAACACACAATATAATATTATCACAAACGCTCTTGAAACAAAACCGCGAAAATACTAGACACAAAACACCGCGGATTGCGATAAAGGTCGAGCAGTGCGGCTCATTCTAATATGAGCCTTGTGCAGTGCGTCGTAAGGGAGAAAGTGCAACGACATCTGCACTTGTTTACAACTTATGCGCGTTACCTGCGTAGGTATAAGTAGGTACTACGCACTCGTGGGTGCTAGTTAACTCTCAATTTAACGGGACTTTTCTAGAATGCGTCGATCGGCGTATATAAGCGCGATAGACGCCGCGCAGAGACAGTTGAATTTCAACAGCGATTTCGGAATTAATACAAAGGGGATCAAAGTGCAATAAAGTTTTCAAGTGCGATTATTTAAAGACTTGTATAGTGAAGTACAGTGTTAAGTGAGTGTATTGTGATTAACATTGTGTGTTAACTGTGTGTAGCGTGTGGTAAATAAAGAATTGTCAAGCGTGAACTGGCATATAATTTCGAAGCACATCCCGAAACGTAACAGTATCATAGGAAGATTTGGTAAATCGATTTTTCGCAAAAGTGCTAGAGGTTGCGCGTTCGGCTGCGATCGTTGAAGTTAAGCAACTTTCGCAGTGATCGGTCATTGGATGGGTGACCAAATATCTTCTATCTCGAGTTCCTCCGTGCTTTCACGTTAAGCTGTTTGTCCCGGCTGCATCTGCAGTCGTTAGCACCCGCCAATCCGCACTGGGCCGTCGTGGTGGGTCATAGCCCAATCTCCCTATTCCATCCATAGGGAAGGCCTTTGCCCCAGCAGTGGGTATATTAATAGGCTGATGATGATGATGACAGACAACCGGGAAAGTATAAGTTACATTTATTCTATACTAGCGGCCCGCCCTCGCTTCGCTTCGGTGTAGAGCTGAAGTGTAGACTACAGTTTTTGTTCTCAGGCTTGTATTATACACAATGACATTCATCTATGATTCTTCTTATACCTGCATGCAAAGTCTCAGCCCGATCGGTTTAAAATTGGCATAGTTTCATACAAACTTTCATTCCCTATTTTATCCCCTTGGGGGTAGAATTGATCAAAATCCTATCTTAGCGGATGCCTACGTCATAATATCTACCTGCATGCCAAATTTCAGCCCGATCCGTCCAGTGGTTTGGGCTGTGCGTTGATAGATCACTATGTCAGTCAGTCACCTTTGAGTTTTATATATAGACTATGCACGTATTGTATATATTCACCGGTAGTCCCAGAAGGTCCTTCCCATCAGCTTGTAGCAGGCAGTCTCCTACTTGGAGTCCGGCATGGTCAGCTCGCGATCCCGCTGTGACGTCACGAACCTTCATTACCAAATATACTTCTTAAATAAATTAATAAATAAAGTTTGGGACGGAGTGTAAATGGAAAAATCCATATATATGTTTCAATATAATTAAATCTGATTTAGACAAAATCATAAATTAGTTGTCAAACAAAAAAAAAAAATAAAAAAAAAAAATAAGAACTATCTACCATATCGTGAATATATTTTTACAAGTTTTTGAGTGAACAGTTAAATATGTCGATTGATGTGACCAGTGTAGTTGCCACCAGTGTCCAAAATAACAAACGGGAATTATTGCTTTCGTCAACCTGCGACATAAATTGATATTGTATTGTATATAGGATGAATATTTAGACATATAATACTTAAATAATAATATAAATAAATAAATACTAGCTGACCCAGCGAACTTCGTACCGCCCTAAAAAAATAGGGGTTGTCCAGCGGACAAAATTGTGAATCTAAACCATAGTCATAGTCATAATATTTATTGCTTCATGTTGGTTACATTTCGTTTTAAATTTAATAACAGCTCGCAAACATGAGCCCTGCAAGGGCATTGCAAATTATAATAAATGTATACAAATATTAATTTAAAACTTGATAAAATTACAATAGGATAACAATTTAAGATAGATAGAAAATTTAAATAAGTTAATAAAAAAGAATATAATTTTAAAATCAATTCATATTATACTTAAAGCAATTATAAAATACATTTAGGGTAAGGTCAAGAGATGTATGTCAATCAAATCAAAAAAAAAAATGGTTGCCTGTAAAGTCGGTTTTACGGGCGAAGATTTTACGTGACAACGTCTTTTTCTCGGTAGAATATTTATTGATATGAATATAATTAAATTGCACAATAGGAACAAGGAATTGAATGAAAATAAGAATTGCACAAATTTTAACTATAGAAATATATTTTGTTTACTAAAAATGGTTGCCTGTAAAGTCGGTTTTACGGGCGAAGATTTTACGTGACAACGTCTTTTTCTCGGTAGAATATTTATTGATATGAATATAATTAAATTGCACAATAGGAACAAGGAATTGAATGAAAATAAGAATTGCACAAATTTTAACTATAGAAATATATTTTGTTTACTAAAACATTGTACATGTAAACTTAAACTCATCGTAACGTTACCGAGCGTTACACTTTTTCATAAGTGACTCCCAGCCGCAACCTAATTTAAGACGTTGTCACGTCAAAACATTGTACATGTAAACTTAAACTTAACACGAGAGACTCATCGTAACGTTACCGAGCGTTACACTTTTTCATAAGTGACTCCCAGCCGCAACCTAATTTAAGACGTTGTCACGTCAATAAATAAACAAGTAACAATAACATTCAAAGTAATAATCCATTCAAAATTCATTCACATAATATTCATTATAATTTAGTTTAATAATTTCGGTTTAGGTCAATAAAGGGAGCGTTCAAGTATTACGTAACGCAATTTTTGAAGATTTTTGACCCCCCCTCCCCCCACTGTAACGCTCCGTAACGTTTTTCTGTACCCCCCCACCCCCCTCTCTAAAGGTTACGTAACACTCAAGTCATCATTTTTACCCTGAAGTCGCAAAAAGTTGTTATAGTTTTTATCCTTCGTATAGTTTTAATTGCCTTATAATAAAACAAGAGATTTTTAATTCGCAACACCTGCGTATTTTGTTTATTTTTTTATAAATTTTTGGCTTTACAAAACACAATTGTTTTTCTCCTTCGTTCTCCTAAGTATTTTAGCTTTTTTACTAATAAATTCTTCAAATAAAATAACATATTTATTTTAACCTTTGGCAATGCAATTATAAACAGAAACCCAACTGAAATTAAACATTTTACTCGAAATAAAATCGTATTCTTAACAAAATTAAAAAATAATCAACTATTAACCAAGTATCTAAGTAGGTCTATAAAAACAATTCGATTGAAATTACTGCTCCTCTGTCCACGGGTTTGCTAGCCACTCAGATTCTTTCATCACTGGCACCTGGAGTGCAGACGAAGACGGTTCTGGAATTGTTAAGCCACTTGCATCAACTTCGTCTTCGTCGAGTCAGTCAGCATCCTCAGACGATGTTTCATAACGACGCACAATGCAGAGAAGCTCATTTGCCCTTCTGGCAGCAAGGCGCTGTGGCCGTACTCTAGTTTCACAATGGTCTTGGACAGTCTTGCCATGCACGTAACGACAGTGCATTTGAACACTCCTGTGAGATGTGAAATAGATCCCACAGGTTGGACATACTTTTTTCTTTAGGTCGGATTGTACAGATGGACAAAAGAAATCGTAATGCATCTGCTTAAACCCTTCTAGAGGAGGTGACAGATTAACGGACAACCTTACAAGAAGTGGCGAAAACTTGGATTTTCCTTTGTCTAACAAACTGGGTACTACGAGCTTGCTTGGGGTTTGAAGTATTGGGCAAGGTGGCGGCATGAAAGTATCCGTAAACACATATTTCAATGCACTTCTCGGTGGTGAACAGCAGGATTCATCTGCGCATTTTATAACCTGTAAGAAATATTGCGATTCACGGACGTGAACGCTATACCACGCCAGATTTCGTTCTGCTGGATCCTGCATGCTATCTTCGGGCTGTCTATACTCCGCCGAAACGTCATAATTATCAATTTTCATTTCTCTCCACACTTCTGCAAGTGTTTCCCCAGCGTGCTGAAAATTGCGTTTTTCCAAATCATCATCCGTAGTCATTCCTTTGTCGTCGAGATGAGAACCAAAATGTTCATGAGGCAAAATGACGCCTGCCAGTCGTTTGCTGAGGGGAGCCATGCGACGCTCAACTCGGTTATATGCGCTCCGCCCAGGAGCATTAGTCGCTATAAACAGGGCGTCCAGGTTGTATTTTTTAAAGTGTTCAATCGCAAAGTTCTTGACTTTGCGATAACGCGGGTTTTCGTCCGGCCCACCATCTACAAAGATGATGATTACTGGCTTCACGGTGTTCGATTCTGTCATCATTAAGGATTTGAATGAAGGTATTGATAAAAGTGATTCGAAATCATAAGCGTGGGTGTTCGCTGTGGAGGATGAGTGTTTCCCGCTCCTTATGGATATGTGTGTCGGCCCGCTGTACCCAACAGCTTCTTCCCTACCGAAATTGTTAGGTTCTACGTTGACGCCGGCGTATACAGAAGGAATAAGTTTGTGCCGCTCTGCCACGACCCAGTCATGATCAGGTAAAAGTATTCTGTATTCCATATGCATTAAAAGAGGGCTCTGACTTTTTACTGCCGGTAAACCTATCGGTACACGTGCCTTATCGTCTTGTGAGAGAACGAATACTTGCTGCGGTCCCAGAAGCGAAGCGAGAGATTCCAATGACCTGATTGTAGCAGTGCAAAATTCCCCGTCCTCGTGTTTTTTGTGCATCTCGGTCTGTGGTCTTGCTAACTTTACGGGTACAGTACGTACGTGTCTTCTTCCCTCTTGTGTGTTAGAAACGCGTGGGAGTAAATGAAGATATGTGCCGCTTCGAGAAATTTGGAATCCCATTAACAACAGCCTTTCATGCAGGTCGGACAGAGTGAGACAACTCCTAATCATCTCTGTTCGGCGGCGTTCATCAGCAGCGCTGCCATGAATGGCAATATTAATTATGGTCTCTAGGAGAGCAGGTTGCGAGTCAACTAAAGAGGGCTGTCCAGGGCCAGTTCGAGGTTGTGCTGCAGCAGGATTGTTTCTCTGACGTTCAGTTTTCTCCAGTTTTTCTTTGGCTCGAAATTTTTTTGCACGCTTAGCAGAGTCTCTTTTTTTCTTCAAACATTTCTCTTCTTCTTTCAACTCTTTGCGTAGCTTTTTTATTTCGTCATGAACATCATCTTTGGCTATACCAGTGGCCCTTGCTTCAGTGAGAACATTTATTTTTTGTTGCAGTAGACCAATTTTCTTCATAAGAGTTTCTTGAGCCGGTTTGCTTGGAACATTTTTAGTGATGACCGAATCAACCAAAGTCTTGTCTGGTTCCGTAGACGATGTCTCCACAGTTTCCCCATCAGTATTCCGACTTTGCTCCTCGTGGATATCGCTCATCTTTCGTTTGACGGCAGTGCTTTCATGTCCAGCGACTGCGACAATCGATTCCATGAGAGATGAACACGTGGATGAAGCTACAACATTCGAATCCTATAGACCAAGAGAAAATTAATTAAGAATAGGTATTATTGACACATGCGATAAAAAAGAACATAATATACAACACATATAAGCAGATGCACCTGTTTTTGTTGAGGAGCACGCGAAGTCGAGGGAGCATTGGGCCATAGTGTTGCTGGCGTGCTTGATGTTTGCATAGGTAGCTAGAAATATAAAATACTTATGACCAGTTCTTTTATGAAAAATCAAGGTTTGGACTAAATATAATACTTATGTCATTATTACATTTTAGTAGTAAACTTACTTGTGTAAAATAACTAAGCATTGTTGCTTTCTTCTGCGTGGCCTTCACCTTCAACTCTCGTATAACATCATTTATATGTTCTATAAACTTTTCTTTGTTTTTTAGTTTTTCTTTAGCCGTTTTCCAAATTTCATTGGCATTTTTTTGACATACTTGCGCTGGCAAGTCAGCATGAGAGCCTTTATAGGCCAAGAACAGCTGATGATACAAATCTCCTTCTTTTGAGGACATTACAGTATGAACACTATGAACTCACTTTAATAACAGCGACTACAGCAATTTGCTTCTGCATAAACACTAACGAATACTGACAACAAAAACAACATTAAATGACGTACAATACAATCTAGGGATTCCCCGTGAAATATAAACGAAAAGGTTTACCAACATGCGAGAACAAATTAAAAATGGCGACCAGACTAATACAATCGAGAGATTTCCCGTAAAACGTAAACGAAAAGGGTTGCCAATTTGGGAGTTTTATTTCCCTATTTTTTTATATAAAAAAAGAAATAATGTTACGTAACGTGTTGTAAGAAGGACCCCCTCCCGCCCGTGTAACGCATCGTAACGTTTTACGAGACCCCCCCGCCCCCCCAATTTGCGTTACGTAATACTTGAACGCTCATTTACGTCATAAATCCCCTCAGATCCCCTTAAACACACACAAAAAATTTCATCTAAATCGGTCCAGTCGTTTAAGAGAAGTTCAGTGACATACACACTCACAGAAGAATTATATATATAAAGATTTCCAACACTCACACCAATTAGCCTAGCCCCAAAGTAAGCACTGTAAGGCTTGTGTTATGGGATGTTAGGGTAACGGATAGAATACATGTACTGTACTTATGTAAGTATATTTATATAGAAATACATATTAAACATCCATGACTGGAGTACAAATTCTTGTATTCATCACACAAACATCTGCCCCCACTGGGATTCGAACCCGGGACCTTTCGAGTCGTCGTCGTCGTCATCGGCGAGTGCGTTACAATTGGGACTCGAGTTCATATGGCGACGATCCTTTCCTGAAAGTTGATATGTGTGCTACTACGACCATGTGTGGTTTATGTAAATAGCAGATTACTGCCAACGTCAAAAATCCCTGTCTGTGGAAGTGACGGATTTCTGCCACGCATACATGGTTCAATATTTACATATAGAATAGATAAATAGAAATAGATGCAGAAACTATTAAAGATTGCTTTAAGACATAAATGAAGACGATTGGTTTAGTAGAAATCGAAGAAGAACAGTTTTTGTGAAGCGCGGGAACCAAAAGGGTTTGGCGGCCATTTTGTTTACACAGTTGAGTGAAGACGGAATTGGTCATGTTCACGAATAAAAGATCATTAGGCGACTATCGGCTACCGAAACTATTTAACACGACACTGAGGCTCTCCAACGAGGTAAAGTATCTAGGAATAACCCTAGACTCCAAACTGAACTGGGGATCCCACATAGACAAAACTACAACGAAGACTAACATCATTTTCTGGCAATGTCGCAAAATGATTAGCAAAACTTGGGGACTATCACCGCTCATTGTTAAGTGGCTATACACGACCATAATTAGGCCCATCATCAGCTATGCAGCAGTAGTATGGTGGACCAAGACAATCCAGGTAACGACAATTAATAAGTTAAGACGTCTCCAGAGGCGGGCATGCTGTGCAATCACCGGCTGCATGAAAACCACTCCCACATCAGCACTGGAGACAATACTTAACGTGAGACCACTCCACTTGTTTATACAACAGGAAGCTGCATGTACAGCCACGCGCCTAAGCATGCTGGGGCATTGGAGAGACAACAACTCCCCGCACACCAGCATCTTGGCAGACATACACAGGCACTTTCCGTACTTTGCAGCAGTAAACGACCTTATTCCTAAGACGTACGTATTTGACAAAAAATACAAAATTCAACTTTATGAAGACACCCCGGACCGTTGTCTGCATAAGGAGTTGAGGGTCTACACAGACGGTTCAAAAACCAACTGTGGTACGGGCTCGGGTGTCTTCTCCGAAGACCTGAATATACACATCTCGACAGCTTTGGGTGCCTACAACACGGTCTTCCAGGCAGAGTGTGTGGGCATCATCAGAGCTGCTGAGGCGATAGAATGTCGCGGGGTAAGAGGTAAACACATTCGTATCCTCTCTGACAGCGCTTCTGTCCTACAGGCACTGGACAACAATATAATGACATCAGGCTTAATTTACGAATGCCACAGTAAGTTGACTAATATTGCGAACGACAATAGATTGACCCTACAGTGGATTAAAGGACACAGCGGCTCAAGGGGTAATGATGCGGCGGACTGCTTAGCCAGGGAGGGGTCTAGCAGGACGGCCATTGGTCCGGAGCCAATTATACCCATACCCTATCGGCAGCTGCGAACCTGGATAAGGGAGCGCTCTCAACGACAACACGACGATTACTGGTCAAAACTCACGGACTGCAGGCAAGCCATGGAAGCCGTTCCTAAGGTAAACCTGCAACTAACACGTAAGTTAATCAGACTACCTAGACAAGCCCTGAAACAAATCGTGGGTATACTCACGGGTCACGGCTACTTTAACAAACACCTTTGTAATATAGGTATTTCTGACAGCCCTCTGTGCAGAGCCTGCCTGGAGGCGGATGAGACGAGCGCCCATGTCCTACTGGAGTGCAGGGGCGTTGCAAGACAAAGGACTTCTCTAATGGGAAGCCCGAAGACAATAGTAGAGGCCTGCAGCAACATTCGGGGACTGCTGAGCTTTCTGGAGGAGCTGGGATGGCAGGACTGATGCCAATCCCCCACGCAAAATAGGCACTAGGTGTCGAGTTGCGGAAACAGCCCGCCGTACTACTAAGACTAAGACTAAGACTACACAGTTGAGTGGTAGGTAGGCTTATGATGTTGATCCACGGCTCGGCCGGGTCACGGTAATATTATCTAAACAGTATTCTATCTTCATACAAACGGTCGGAAAGCGAGCCATACCTACGCCACTCGAGTTCGCGCGGCACCAGGTGGGCATCCAGTTGCGAATGCGCCGCAGCGACGACCGAACGGTGTGAATTGATTTTTAAGCAGTTAGCCGTGCTTAAACGTTTGTATTGTGAATATTTCATTGAATTAAGTGGATACCTATATAATTTAATATGGCAAAGAGCAATAATCGACATTGTGCTGCTTGTGGTTGCTTGAACTCTTCAATGATTAAACTTTTTATACGAATGCGTATTTATTATACTATTAAATTTAATAATAAAGCTTTTCGTACGTCTCAGTAGAGGCGTAAATATTTTTCTGTCTCAAATCTATATTTTTTTATTAAATATTACACTTAAAATAACATGTATTATATGTGACACTTCCTAATTCATTCACAACATTTTTTTTACATTTGAAATAAAATATTGACTATTACAAAATTAAAAAGAAACTCAATTATATAGATGAAATTAAAATACTGTAGGCGGGCAGCCCTACCGCGTGGATACGCCCGCTCGGCCGTAGGTAGTTATTTCAAGGACAGGGCCGAGTCACAATACTGTATCACACTAATATTATAAAGGCGAAAGTTTGTGAGTGTGTACGTTTGTTACTTCTTCACGTCTAAACGGCTGGAGCGATTTTAATAAAATTTGGTATGGAGTTAGCTGACACCCTAGATTCACACATAGGCTACTTTTATCCCGAAAAATTTTAGGTTCCAGAGGGATTTTCAAGAAACTAAGTTAACGTAGACGAAGTCGCGGGCGACCTCTTGTAGATAATATTAGCATGGCTGGGTGGTTGTTGGGTACAGAGACGCGGTGGAGTCCCTCAACGGGGATCTCGCGCTTTCGCACTTTACAGCGTAGAGGGTATTTGCAAGTTTTTTTTAGCGGATAGTATGCCGTAAGCACTCGTAAGCAGCGCGGACTGCTTAACGGCTTCTCCGTTTCGCACCCAGGGCCGTCTTTAACCTATTGGAGGCCCTGGGCATATTAGGACAATGGGGCCCCTATGATTTTGATGTGGATTATGACTTGAAATGGAGCGAGTCATACTGATGAGTGTACTACTGATGATTTTTCTTTAAATTTGTATGTGCTTAGTATACCAATATATGTAATTTAAATTTATCTAAGCATGCTGAAGTCGGAAAACCTAATTTTTGGGCGAGTAGAATAGCTTCGCATATGTAACTTGGTATTGTAGTCAGTAATTTAGGTTCGATTTCATCAAATTATATAAGTTTTTTGGTAATAAATATTGGTTATCGTTTGGCGATCTGACAGGAACTAGGGACTTTGCATTAGATCTGAGGGAGGCCCCTGTCGATCGCGGGGCCCTGGGCACTTGTCTAAAGTGCCCACTGGGAAAGAGGGGTCGGTTCGCACCCGTAAGACTTGCGAGAAGCCAGATGTGAGGTCCGTTCGTTGGTGTGCCCCTTAAGGGCGCCAACGTCTATAAATAGAGGTTTTGCCTGCGTAATAAAAAAAAGAAAGGCTGATGCTGTTGATAAGATTAAAATCATACTAACCCATGGATATGGATCCCACAGTGTTCTCGTGAGCCGGAAACCAAGACCCTCTCCCTCATCTTCAGGCAGATTTAACTGAAAAAAAACACGGCAAATTACAAAACATAAAAAATACTATTTGTTTCTTAGGTTTTCACGCACATCACTCATTAAATAAAACTAGTTTTTACGGGTTAATGCACGAAACTTTATTTATTTATTGACGTTTCGCAGCCTTTTCAGGTCTGCATCGTCAGAATAATGATTTTTTATTTAAAATTTGTCAAGCTACCTTCGAAAGACTTATATTGAGCGTTCGGTTATTTCATTGGAAGATTTTTAAAATTTTATTGTCTATGAATGAATTTATTATTTAATTTACTTAATAAAGTATTTTTATTTAAAATTCTTGTTTGTAATTTTGAGTTTATTTATTTGACCCTAACTACCGTAAACTACCACCGGTTCCAAAATTGGGAGACCTTCCTGAGAAGAACCGGCGAAACAAACTCAAGAGAGGCTTTCTGTCTCCTTCTTATGTTAAATTATGCAAACAAAAAGAACTAATAGTATCTGATGGTCTTGCAGTGTGTGCTCGGGGTTGGGATTTTATCTCCTATATAATAGGTTCCCAAGCTGGTGGTATATACCAACCATCTTCCCTATTGAAATTTGGATAATTTTTAATCTCAATAGCCTCGCGCATCATTCGAGGAACGAACCGCCGCTCAGCTGTAAATAAATCAATAAATAAATAAAGTTTCGTGCATTAAGCCGTAAAAACTAGTTTTATTTAATAAAAAATACTATCTCTGCTACTTATCAGGCTGTTGGAAACAAAGAAAAGTTGTAGGTATAATTGCATGTAATCTAATTTACTTCTAGATAATTAACACGCGAGATTGAACTAAGGAAATATAGTTGAAGGTGAAGGTGTCGAAACGGCAAGGAACCTTGCAGAACTCAGAACACGGAAAGAGGTTAGTGTTAACGCATGAGTAAGAAGTTCTGCCTACACCGGAATGTCGCTCCATTTCTACAGGTACGGCCAGAGTGCACTCAGATTCAGATTCAGACTCAGAAAACAAGCGCGAGAAATAAACAGTGTAGTTAAAGCAGGGTGGCCATAGTGGCAGCAGGCAACCTGCTTAGGGTGCGGCCAGAGTGCACTCAGATTCAGATTCAGATTTCGAAAACAAGCGCGAGAAATAAACAGTGTAGTCTAAGCAGGTTGCCTGCTTTTTCTCGCGTTTTGTTTTCTGAGTCTGAATCTGAATCTGAATCAGGAGTGCACTCTGGCCGTACCCTTCGACTACACTGTTTATTTCTCGCGCTTGTTTTCAAAATCTGAATCTGAAGCACCCTAAGGGTGCGGCCAGAGTGCACTCAGATTCAGAGTCAGATTCAGATTCTGAAAATAAGCGCGAGAAATAAACAGAGTAGTCTAAGCAGGTTGCCTGCTTTTTCTCGCGCTTTGTTTTCTGAGTCTGAATCTGAATCTGAATCAGGAGTGCAATCTGGCCGTACCCTTCGACTACACTGTTTATTTCTCGCACTTGTTTTCAGAATCTGAATCTGACTCTGAATCTGAGTGCACTCTGGCCGCACCCTTAGACTACACTGTTTATTTCTCGCGCTTGTTTTCTGAGTCTGAATCTGAATCTGAGTGCACTCTGGTCGTACCCTACCAGTAGAAGCAGCTTTGACCTACGTGATCAAAAAAAAAAACCCACTATACACTTCACTCTCTACGCAATTAAAATTTTGTACGCTCAACTTTCTTTCGCAATTTTCGTTTAATTTTATTTATTTGTAATTACCTATATTCGCAATATACGCATTATTCAAGTAAACAACTGAGCTTTATTGAAGAGTACGCATAACGCCGATATAGTTAGAATATATCGTTTGTAAAGGAACCGACGTCGCCGGCTCGCCCCCACTACTCCTCCACTTAATAGATAATAGCCAATCAAACGACGCGACATCAAACAATCTAACCAATCAGCGTTCCCATCGAATAGCAACGACGCGACGTCGAGTTATGAGAATTTGCTCACACACAGTGTTGCCAGGTCTCCAGATTTTACAGGAGATCTCCTGTTTTTTTGAAATTTCTCCTGTTCTACTTTTTTTCTACATGAATCTCCTGTTTTTCTTAGAATAAGATTTTATGTTTTAAATTGCATTAAATATGATTGTTTAAACATTCGTTAGTGGTCTTTATCTTGATTTGATTTACCAATTCTAGGAGGGGGGGGGGGAGAGGCAAATCGGAAAAAGTACGCCTCCGCATCTACTGTTTTTCTTGGAGCTCTTTCCATGCATCTACTGTTTTTTTCTATAACGCCACCCGATTTTTAAAAATCGGACCTGGCAACACTGCTCACACATAACTGCGGCGCGTCTGCCCCGATCACAAGGCCCTTCTAATTGCCTTGCTTCTAATGTAACAGTTAATATCAATATATTGTCCTTTATGATTTTATTTATTTTTTATTGTCCTTTGTTTTATATAACGAAATTTTTTGTGTATGCATGTTAAGTGTTGCAATCTCGATCGATTCGTCAATTAATTAATAAGTTAGTACTTTGTTGATTGTAACATGTTATGTATACCGAATAAATAAAATAAAAATAATCTCATTCAGGGTTCTGTGTTGCAGGCTATATAGCTCATGTGAAAAAAGATGGCGCGTAACCAAAAAACGTGACGCGTAACCGAAAAATGTGACGGTAAATTTTTTTCCAACGCCGATAAAGAAGTTTCACTTCAAAAACCGGTCTATGCCAAACAGGGCCGAATTTAATGCAGGGCCCCACCAAGAGAGGGGCCGCCACAACAGAGATCTAAAGAAACTAATTCCCACAGGTCACAAACCAGGGAGCAAACCATTAGAATCCCGACCCAGATTTATCCGTTAAGCTCCGTGGTCGAGTGATGACCTCCGTGGTAGAGTGGTTCGTACACCGAGTTTCATGGTGTCGCTTACTCGAGAGGACCCGGCTTCGAATCCCGGTGGGGGCAATGTTTGTGTGATGAATCCGAGCATTTGTACTCCAGTCATGGATGGTTAATATGAATTTATATATAAGTATACTTATATATGTGCAGTAATTATGTATTCTATCCGTTACCCTAGTATCCCATAACACAAACCTTACAGTGCTTACTTTGGGATTAGGCTAATTAGTGTGAGTGTTGGAAATATGAGGAGCTCGATGGCGCAACTTGTTAGCGCGTTCGGCTGCGATCGTTGAAGTTAAGCAACTTTCGCAGTGGTCGGTCATTGGATGGGTGACCAAAAATTTACTATCTCGAGCTCCTCCGTGCTTCGGAAAGCACGTTAAGCCGTTGGTCCCGGTTGCATCTGCAGTCGTTAGCACCCACCAATCCGCACTGGGCGCAATCCGCAATTCCATCCTTATGGAAGGCCTGTGCCCCAGCAGTGGGGACATTAATAGGCTGATGATGATGATGTTGTAAATATGTATTAATTTCTATTAATAAGTATGGATTAATGTTTGCGTAATCAGTTTCGCCCATTAGTCTCGTCTGCATCCGCAGTCATTAAACACCTACTATAAGTTAGGTTGGCCTTTAAGAGGCGATGAACATAAAATGGCGTCTTTTCGGCATATTGACCGCCATTTTGAATGATTATAATGGCGCGATTACAAGATGGTGGTTAGTCTGAATACGAGTGCCAATGGTATTCGTATGCATTCGGGTAGATTTCTTTTTAATTGTATTTTTTAAGCATGTAACTGCTCGATTACTTGTAAGAAATAATATTAATTTGTTTCTTAAAAACAGTGATCTTTACACACTTAATACAAGAAACAAAAATAAACTAACTTTACCTGCTACTAGGCTTCACAAAATCAATAGTTCATTTAAAGGTCTTTGTGTTCGCTTATACAATAAAGTCGCAAGCAATATCCAAGAGTTAAGCATAAATAAATTCGAAGATAGTATGCGTGTGCCCGGTCCATTTCCTGTCCCTGGTCAGTTATGATAGGGGAACGGAAATGGTTCCGGGACGGTGCATCCCGGGTGCCTGCGTAATGTCTCCCACTGAGGGTGCTGTTACGGAGGTGTCTAATAGCCGACAATCTCGTAACCCCGTACGTGGTGCGGGGCCGAGGGCCGCTAGTCTCTTCGGAGGGTGGGGGCCGCGAGGAAGAAAACCTCTCTAAAAAATTACCCGTTGGGGATCTCGGCGGGCGTCCTGGGCATCCCGGGTAGCGGCAGCCGAGTTGGGGGAGAGCTCGCAACCCCGCACTTGTGCGGGGCCGAGGGCTGCCACTCTCTTCGGAGGGCAGTGGTCGCGAGGAAGAAAACCTCTATAAAAAATCACCCTGAGGGGATCGGCTGGCGTCCTGGGATCCCGGGTAGCGGCAGCCGATCAGTGGCCGACTTGTCGGCGGTGGATGGCGGACAGTGTTCCGCGGGGACTCCGGTCCCACGTGGCGATGCCACACCCGGGCGTAACTGCTCGGTTGGCGGGGCTTGCCTTAATTGGCTAGCCCAGCGGCCGTTTCGACGGCGTGGTTTGCGGACCTCCAAGGTCCGCGTGCGCGGCGGCCCCGTGGCCACGAGTGTGGTTACTGGGGATGGGTTTCGGCCTACCGTCGGGCGAGCTGGAGACCTGTGTGTGTGTGTCGTTGTCACGTCTAGCGGCACCACACAGGACCAGTGGGGACTGCCTTTGTTGGCCGTCCCTGAGAGGAGCATACCTCGTTAAAAAACCCCAAAGCGTCGGGTTTACCCGTTAACTGGTATTAAAGTGCAAGCGTGGTACCAGGCGCCTTATGGTGGTGGGCTGGGGAAGTCCACCGACTAGCGCTTCCCACCCCGGGGCATTACCCGCCGCCCCGGGAGTATTAGGGTTACCCAGGTACAGGGGGCACTGCCTGGGTGGACTATTTATTTCCCCCATACTCGTGGGACTAGTTATGCAGTTGAACAAGATAAAAACCTTAAAATTGAAAGACGTGGAAGGTGGGAGTTGTGAGGAGAGGAGAGAAGGCCTGGAGAGGCCGGAAAGGGAGAGAGTAGGAAAGAGTGTCGGGGACGCGAGGCGTCAGGAGCC